CCTCTCGCTAACTGCATCTTCAACTCTATACTGTATTTTCAAGATTTATGCATGTTGATCCACGTAGCTCCCTAGTTCCCTTTAACTGCTATAAGATATTCTGTTGTGTCAATATATGACAATTTATGCATCACTTTGTTGACAGATAATTGGATTTTTAGTTTTTTGCCTTTACAAAAATCACTGCATCTTTTTGCACATCTCTCCTTGTGCATATGAACTGAAGTAAAATTACTGGGCCTTAGTGTAAATATGTTGTTTTAGTTCACTTTGTGCTGCTGTAACAGAATACAATAGACTGGGTACTTATCAAGAAAACAAATTTATTTCTCATAGTTCTGGAGGATGGGAATTCCAAGATCAATTCACAGGCAGGTTCGGTTGTCCGAGGAAGGCTTTCTTCCCACATCCTCACTTGGCAGAACGGAAGGGCTGGGCTGATGCTGTGTGAAGCCTCTTTTATAAGGGCCTTAGTCTCATTCCCAAGGAGGAGCTCTCATAACCTAATCACCTCTTAAAGGCACCCCCCTCAATACTATGACATTAAATTTCAACATCTGAATTTTAGAAGGGACACATGCAAACCATGGCATATGTTTTTATCTTTGCTGTCACTAAATTGTCCAAAGTGATTGCAACAGTGATTTATATACTCAACCCACAGAGTATAAGAATTTTTCCTTTCTAGCTGGGCATGGTGGCTCACGCCAGTAATCCCAGCACTTTGGGAGGCCGAGGTGGGCGAATCACTTGAGGCCAGGAGTTCGAGACCAGCCTGGCCAACACAGTGAAACCCCATCTCTACTAAAAATAGAAAAAATTAGCTGGGTGTGGTGGTGCATACCTGTAATCCTAGCTACTCAGGAGGCTGAGGCATGAGAATCACTTGAAGCTAGGAGGCTGAGCTTGCAGTGAGTCGAGATCGTACCATTGCACTCCAGCCTGGGTGACAGAGCGAGACTCTCTCAAAAAAAAAAAAAAAGAAAAAAAAAGAAAAAAATCTTTTCTCCTTTCTCCCCACAACCCTTCCTAACTCTTAAGGGTCGAGTAGTTGGGGAGAAGCTTCAGGAGACAACACAACACCTCTGATACATCTTCCTTTGCCTTTCATATATTGTGAAAGCTTCTAGGTTTAAAGCACTTTAAGAATGTTTAGAGCAATACTTCATTATGCTGGAGCATAATAGAGGAAGGGAACTAACTCAATTCTTTTACTAACTGGCAAAAGAGCCTTTACCAGAACATTCCACAGTCAGGAGTTCTTAACCTTCTTTGTGTCTTGAATGAAGAATAAACAACAATGTAGTAAAGTTTATAGACCTTTTCTCAATGATTCAAAGTGCATAAAATATAGAGGGTTACAAGGGAATTCTATTTTTTCCCCCAAAGATGCTGGATATAAAAAATACTTTTTAATTGTGATATAGTAATGTGTGTTTGTTAATTAAATAAGATCTGGCAGTAGTTCTATTTACAAATTCAAATTAACTGCTGTGAATTTGAAGTAACGAAGAGCACAAATAATATTTCAAGATATTTGTACCAAATCAATGTGATATAAAAGTATCTGTAATTTCTTATGATGACAGAGTCACAGATACTGCTAAGACTACTGTAACTTGTTGCTTACATTCATAATAGAAGGAAATGCTATATTTTAGTTAGAGGTTAGTGAAATAAGGATGTAATTTTACCCCCGTCCAAGTTCATGGACTTTATTGTTCTGTCCACAGAGGCCCAGACTTGATCATCAACACTTCTAGGTGCAACAGAACTCTGGTCAATTGAGTAAGAAACAGATCAGACTCAAGCTCTGGAAAGTATTTGGCAAGGCATAAATAACCATTATTCCATTCAAGTAGCAATTGCTGTTCTATACAAAAAAATGTGATGATGTGGTGCAATGGGTTATAACTGTGGAAAATCATTTTGATGGAGTGGACACCAAAGCTGCAAAGGCTGAGGTCAACACTGAAGGCCAGGGGACATTAGAAAATCAACATCAAAACATCAGGCTGTGCAGTCAAAGGCAAGGAAAAGAAAAGTTTCTTTTATTAAAGACTGTCATAGTATTAATAAATGGAAAATTTCTTCTGCCGAAAAATGTTAGGTTATATCTCTCAATGCTTTGCTCAAAAATGGATTCCATTCACTTAGCATATTGTCACTGTATTTTATGAAGAGTATCTTTAATAATCTTACCCTGTGTTCCTATACCATTTCTTACCTTTTAAATTATAATTGTCTGTGTTATCATGTCTATGAATCTAAAATCACTGCTATGTTTTGAATGGTCCTATACTTTGTCAGTAGCAGTATTGAAACCAAGAGGCTCGCAGTTGTGTCAGTGGGAAAAATAGGTATTAATGTAAGATTCACTGACTTTTAAGTTTCTCAGTAGTGAGCTTTCTTTTTTTTTTTTAAGATGGAGTCTCACTTTGTCGCCCAGGCTGGAGTATGGTGGCGTGATCTCAGCTCACAGCAGCCTCTGCCACCGGGGTTCAAGCAATTCTCCTGCCTCAGCCTCCTGAGTAGCTGGGATTACAGGCGCCTGCCACTGCACCTGGCTAATTTTTGTAGTTTTTAGCAGAGATGGGGTTTCACCATCTTGGCCAGGCTGGTCTTGAACTCCTGACCTCATGATCCACCTGCCTCGGCCTCCGAAAGTGCTGGGACTACAGGTGTGAGCCACTGCACCCGGCCCCGTGAACTTTCTTTTAAAGATAAACTTAGGTACAAAGGTGATATATTAACTAACAGACACACAGAATTCTGTCATGGATTTAGTGAAGTAAATAATCTCCCTTAGAAGTAAGAAATGTGGGCAATGTATTATAGTTTTTGAAATGTAGTAGGTAAGTTTCATGAGCCTTTTGTGAAGAAGACTAGTTGATGCATTCTTTCATTCATTCAAATATATATCAAGAACCCCATTCAAGGCTCCACCACCAGCCAGTGAGCAGACTTGGCCCCCATGCTTACCTCTCTTCCTTCTCCAGTTTCCAATTTTTGTTGTTGTTGTTTTGTTTTGTTTTTTGAGACAGAATTTCGCTTTTGTTGTCCAGGCTGGAGTGCAATGGTGCAATCTTGGCTGACCACAACCTCCACCTCCTGGGTTCAAGCGATTATCCTGCCTCCATCTCCCGAGTAGCTGGGATTACAGGCATGCACCACCACGCTCGGCTAATTTTGTATTTTTAGTAGAGACAGAATTTCTCCATGTTGGTCAGGCAGGCCTCGAACTCCCGACCTCAGGTGATCCGCCCACCTCGGCCTCCCAAAGTGCTGGGATTACAGGCGTGAGCCACCATGCCTGGCCTCCAATTTCCATTCTTTCCCCGCTTTCTTCCTTCTTTCTTCGTGCCAGCTGCCGCTGACCATTCTCTCCCGCTGCTGCTAGCGGCATTCTTCCCCTTCTTGAGCCCCTTTGCACCTCGATTCTTACTTTACTTCTCCTTTATCCTTCTTTTTAACTCTTCCTGTCCATCTCATCAAGAAGAAAATACCTTATGTCCCCTTTGTCCTCCTTTCTAGCCCAAAGTTTTCCTGTCCCAACTCTGTCTTTAATGAGAAAAAATGTTCCATGCAACTTTGCTCTAAACCAACTCCTACTTCTGAAAACAAAACAAAACAATTAGCTAGGAAAATGGAGATGCATACCACTTTTCTTCTGACTGGGCCGATGTTTCTCGTTCCCAGGTGAATCCAGAGCAGAGTATGTCTGCTCCTAGGCACATAGTTGCAAAGATTGACCAACATGCAGCCAAGATTGACGGTGGTTTCAAACGCAGTGACTCGTGAACAGTTTCTTTTTCTTGACTTTTCAGTGTGTAATCAAAACTACTGAGAAAACATATTTCAGTATGTTACTGCGTTTGTTAAAGGATTTGGGACACTGGAGCAGGAAGGCACTCTCATGGCGAGCAATGATGGCTGGCAGGTTAACTAGATCGTTACTGTTTCTATTTCTCTGATGACCACCTCCACTTCGGTGTTCTTAGCAGCTGTGGTAGAAATAGTTATTACGGTGTATTGAGCTTTTACTATAGGCTAAGCCCCTTTTTTTTTTTTTTTTTTTTTTGAGACGGAGTCTTGCTCTGTCACCCAGGCTGGAGTGCAGTGGCCAGATCTCGGCTCACTGCAAGCTCCGCCTCCCGGGTTTACGCCATTCTCCTGCCTCAGCCTCCCGAGTATCTGGGACTACAGGCGCCCGCCACCTCGCCCGGCTAGTTTTTTTTTGTATTTTTAAGCCCTTTTATGGCTGGTCTTACTAATCCTCACAAAACTCCAAGAGGGTGGTATCTGCATTTTACAGGTAAGGAAACTGAGATTCTGAGAGGTTTTAACTAAGAGATTAAAAATCACTTGCCCAAGATCACGTAACTTAAATATCAGAAGCTAGGATTTGAAACGAGTTCTTTCAGACTTCAGAGCTTATTTTCTTAATCTTTATGCTGCCTATAAGATGCTGGAAAAAAAATTAGCCGCGGAAATTACAAAAGCCCGGCTGCCTGGGCTCACTCAGCACAGGGCAGGTATCTCTATGTCCTCACCAGCTCCCTGGGCCCACTCAGGGCAGGGCAGGTAGCTCTGTGCCCTCACAAGAGAAGGCTCTTGACAATGGTCAGTTTTAGACATCAGTGGTGTTATAGTTCCAGTTTCCCTTTCTAAAAAGTCAGTGAAATGTGAAGTACGTTGGAGAATGAAATCTTTTGAGAAAGTTCTGTCTCCTTGATTGGTAAAAGTTAATTATCTAGGAAATTTGTTTATTTAAAATAGCTCATTGCTGGATAAAGAAGGTATCACGTCATGTTAACAAACTAATTTGTGTTATGTTTAAAAGACTGAATTTTAAAATGCGCTAGGTTAAGTTTCCTTGTTTTGGTGACATGAAATATAAGAATGGGTTATAAAGTTATTCCCAAAGAAAATGATATTCAAGTACCTTTTAGTGTGTGTGTATATATATGTTCCCTATTTAATGGGGGCTGTTCCTACAGCTAAGAAGAAATTTCCCAACTTGTTTGTCTTCTTGGAAGATTCCTCCTCATGTCTCAAAATCTTCCCAGTCAGAAGCTCTACTCGATATAACAAATAATGGATTACACTTGGCTCCCCTGCAAACACTTACAGATGAGGAGATGATGATAAAGAGTTCAGGTAAGTAAATGTATGAGTATCACCTTTTTCTCCCCAGACAGGATCTCTGGAGCACAGTGGCACAATCATGGCTCCCTGAAGCCCCACCTCTGGGCTCAAGCTATCCTGCTTCAGTCTCCTGAATAGCTGGACAAATGTCACCTTATTATTCGTCTGGTCATGAATTGGGTCTACAATATGAAGTCACATATGACAGGATTGAAAGATACGTTCATCTAAATTTGTGAATATAGTTTTTTTGACATAAATTCTTTTTGAAGAAAAGAAATGCATATCCAAGATTAAAATGACAGAATAAAAGGCTATGTAGTTAAAAGTGAAGGCTTTCCCGCCCATGTTCTGTAGTTCCCCAGTTCTTGCCACCTTGTTACCAGTTTCTTATATAGCCTTGCAGAGTTAGAAGTACATTTATATTCCACTTTTCTTTAGATAGTGGGTTTTTTGTTGTTGTTGTTTGTTTTTTTGAGATGGAGTCTCACTCTGTCACCCAGACTGGAGTGCAGTGGCGCAATCTCGGCTCACAGCAACCTCTGCCTCCTGGGTTCAAGCAATTCTCCTGCCTCAGGCTCCTGAGTAGCTGGGACTACAGGCACGTGCCACCATGCCTGGCTAGCTTTTTGTATTTTTTTTTTTTTAATAGTAGAGATGTGGTTTCACCGTGTTAGCCAGCATGGTCTCGATCTCCTGACCTCGTGATCTGCCCACCTTGGCCTCCCAAAGTGCTGGGATTACAGGCATGAGCCACCATGCCCAGCCTAAACAGTGGGTTTTCATACTTTATGTGGAATTTAAATTTTACTTTTATCTATGAAACACCTGTGGTTGAAACAGGGTGCCCGAATGAAGCAGAAGTTGTATACCACTAAACCTTAAAGCAGTTTGCATTCATTTATTTATAGGTATAGGTGTAGGTGTAAAATTATGATCTATTTAAAAATCCGTAGCAGAACATCAGAATGTTGTTCTTAGAGAATATGGATGGTAAGTGTATTCGTTTTCTATTGCTGGGTATTGAATCACTCCAAACTTAACAAGTTAAAACAGCGCCCATATAGTGGCTCACAGTCTGTAGGGTAGAAGTCCAGCTGGAGCAAGTCCAGGCTCAGGGTCTCAGAAGGTCAACATCAGTGTGTCAATTGGGCTGTGTTTTTGTCCGGAGCTCAAGGTCCTTCCAAACTCCCATGGTTGTATCAGTACGCAGTGCTTTGCAGTTGCAGGGCTGAGGTCTTGTTGCCCAGCTGGCTGTTAGCCAGAGGTTGTCCCCAAACTCCTGGAGGCCTCTGTATTCCTTGCCATGTGGCTCCCTCCATCTTCAAAACCAGTGACTGTCCCTCCCAGCATCAAGTCTCTCTCATCCTTAAAACATGTTTGACCAGAAAGAGCCCCATCTTTCTTCGGGGCTCGCCTGATTAGGTCAGGCCCCCCAACTGTCATCTCCCTGTTTTAAGGTCAGCTGATTTGGGAGCTTGATTGTACCTGTAAAATCAACTTCACAGCAGCACTTAGATTCACGTCTGAATAACTGAGAGAGAACATGTATACACCAGCGGCTGGGAATCTTGGCACTGTCTTAGAACTCTGTCACAATAAGTAAATTTCTTTTCTTTCTTTATTTTTTGAAATGGAGTTTTGCTCGTTTTGCCCAGGCTGGAATGCAACGGCACTATCTCGGCTCACTACAACCTCTGCCTCCTGGGTTCAAGCGATTCTCCTGCCTCAGCCTCCCAAGTAGCTGGGGTTACAAGTGCGTCCCACCACGCCCGGCTAATTTTGTATTTTTAGTAGAGATGGGGTTTCACCATGTTGGCCAGGCTGGTCTCGAACTCCTGACCTCAGGTGATCCACCAACCTCGGCCTCTCAGAGTGTTGGAATTACAGGCGTGAGCCACTGTGCCCAGCTAGTAAATTTCTTTTCCTTTGCTCCCTCACCTTTTAGATATGGTCTCAGGGAAGTGAGTTTGGGATGGCTAAGGAAAAACAGGGTGAGTCGTCAAATAGTTTTACATAAATCAAAGAATTTGCTTAGAGTATCTTGATTCTCTGTCTTCAGTCGTATTTATTTCTTTAGTACCCACCTAGTCTAAGCACAGAAGCAATAAAGATGGGCAAGAAAAAAAATCACTGCTTTTAAGGAACTCAGAGTCTAGTGGCAAAGACAGTCAAATAAAGGAAATAGTTTCAAAGTAACATGGTAAATGTCATGGAGGTATTTGGAGAGCAAAGCAGAGAATACCTGGAATTTGCTAGGTGTGGCAGAAGTGGGCTAAGGAAGCAGTCAGGAAAGGCTTCTCAGAGAGTGTGGAGCTTGAGCTGTACCATGAAGGACAAAGTGCAGTTGGCCAGTTGAACAAGGGAAGGGAAGAGATTCTACATAATGGGAGTCGCCTGTGCAGAAACAAAAGAATACTGAAGCAAGCCGCATGCACTGAACTCTCAGTTTAACCCTGTTGCCTTCTCTACCGACTTGGTATTACGTTGGTAGTAACCCTAAGAAGGTATTTTCATCAAAATGAATTCTAAATGCATCTAAGTCTTAAAAACATTAAAAAATGAAATAGTGGTTTTCAACCGGGGCAGGCCGCCCCCAGAGGACATTTACCAATATTTAGGGACATTTTTGATTTGCCACAACTTAGAAGTGGGGATGCTCCTGGCAGCGAGTGGGGTAGAGGCCGGGATGCTGCTCAACATCCTGCAATGCACAGAACAGCCTCACAACAAAGACTCACTTGCCCCAAAATGTCCATAGTGCCAAGGTGGAGAAACCCTGTTCTGTATGACCACGCAGCTATGAAAAGGACCAGGTTAGATGGGATATGCTGACATAGAAAGATCATCAAGATATAGTTGAGGGAAGCAAGGCACACACCAATGTGTATCTCCTGATTCCTATGTGTGAACGTGCGTGTGTACAGGTAAGTATAGATGATTTTCAAAGAAAAGTTTTCAGAAAGAATACATAATAAATTTAAAATTAGTGACCTTTGGGTAGAGTGGAGCATGGCTTTCGTGTTTCATTTTGTGCTTGTGTTTTTGCACCATCTACACATATCATTTATTTTGTGATGTCATCAAGAGTTACAAAGGGATATGGGGAACTACACCTTTCTCTGTTAAAAAGAAAACTTTATAAATTCTATTTTAAAAATATAAGAAGGGTACCTGTGTATATTTTAACTTAGTTAAAATGTAAAATTTTGTCAGCAAACTATTAATGTGACTGTAACTTTAACATAGACTTACCAGTAATTCTTTTTCCTACAGTTAAAAAATTTGCTCAGGAACAAATTGCACCTTTGGTTTCAACCATGGATGAAAATTCAAAAATGGAGAAATCAATAATACAAGGATTATTTCAACAAGGGGTATATTTTATAATTCTTCCAGTTTCAAGCTTTTATAAAAACATTTTGGTGTTAAAATATAGGCATATTTTTAAATTTAGGGACTGTAATGATAGCACAATGAACCCTTCATTTCCTAGTCAAAATTATCTGTTTTCTTTTTTTGGTTGAAATCCTACTTAATATTTATGTACTTAAAAGTTTTTAAAAATGGAATTAACATTTTGAATTGGAAATGCTATATATTTTAAGGAAAAGTTTGGAAGTAAGATGGTAATTTATTTGTACCTTTAGACCAGTGGTTCTCAACTGGGGGCAGTTTTGCCCTCCAGGGGACATTGGGCAACGTCTAGAGACATCTTTGGTTGCCACAGCTGAGGTGTGCTACTGGCCTCTAGTGGGATAGAGACAAGGCATGCTGCTCAACATCCTGTAGTGCACAGGACAACTGCCACAACAAAGAATTATCCAACCCAGTGCCACCGTGAAGAAACCCTACTTTAGATAGTAACACTTCATAGCATAGTTTATATTCTACCTGAATCTCTATGTAAGTGATAAACTTAGAAGCAGAGGTGATACATGAATTCCACATTAAGCAGGCAACAGATTCCCATCTTTCCAAGTCACATAGCTCTTTAATGGAAATACAACATATGAAATAGATACAAGTAAAACCGCTCTCACTGTGATAGGGGGAGAGGCTATTAGCATAGGGGCTTCTAGAAGAACATTTTTTAAATCACCACACTCATCATTTCTCACTTCTCCAGAGGTATAAAATATTTATTTTTTTATTTTTAATACTAAAGATGTCCCAGAACAAGGTGGCTGCGATTCAGAGCCATTGGCCTAAATCTTGTCTGCCATCCAGTTTGAAAAATAACCATTGCCACTTAGCTAGATAGTTTTATTTATTTCTGTTTTAAAGCAACCAGCTTTTTTTATACCGTGTGTAGTTACGATTCTTCCATCTTTCTTTTAGCAGTCAAACTCTTGGGAAAATGGAATCTTATATGGAGTCATTGTGGTCAAACAGGAGGCCGATGTGGAGAAGAGATGGACTCTGTGAGTCCATTCCTCAGCCGGGTTTTATTTCTATTGCTTGCAGACCCTCTAGGCTTCTGGAAGCAGTCTCACAGTTTCACAGCGTGAGATCTCCCCTGTGCTGGTGGTTTCTGCAGCGGGGCTGTCTGCAGAGTGATGCATTGCCTGCACCCTGCTACTCATCTCCACAAACCGCTGCTGCGCAGATGCAGCCTCACCTGCCTCCTTACTCCCATTGTCATGGCTTTTTGGCATAATGGCTTGCAAAAACAATATTTCCACTTTGGGAGAGATTAGTGACTTTTTTAGAGAAGCAATGTCTCTGGCATCTGCTCAAGACATTGTAATGAGGTAGCCAGAGTGCCCTACTCGGTCCTCAGGCAAACCCAGATCCTTCCGTTCTTCCTCATTTCTGGTTTTATCACCATTCAGTCACTCCCATTTCTGGTTGTTTTCCTGTTGTAGCCCAAAATGTAACAGCCACAGCCCTGACTGCAGCATAGTGTGACTCCACGAATGTCTAGAGAGAGACTGAGAGAATTATCCTTCTATTAACAGCGGTGGGCCTTGAATTACACAGGCACACATTCTCTTTGTGAAATTGAGAGTACTATGTGAGCTTCAGTAGTGACAGAACGGGGTTGTTGGAAAGGCTTGGCTGGCACTGGTCATGTTTACAGGCACCCGTTCTTTGGCTAGTGTGACTCTAGCAAACACCACCACCTCTGCTAACCATCCTGAACTTTTGAAGGTGGCATAAAAGGAATGGTCATTCAATTATTAACCTGTCGAAAAAGTCAAGGTGAAAGAACCTGACTGGAAGAAACTTTGCCGAATGAAACCGTAGACATTCCCATTGAGGAGTAGGCTAGTTTCTTCTGTGTCCTTATTACATTGAAATCAGCATAAGGTGAGTAGGGCATGTTGAAAAACCAAAACTCCACCTACCTTCTTTAAGCAGGCAACAACAGTTCTTAGCAAGAAAGGTCATCTAAGTATTTTTATATAAGATATTTTCTCATTCCATTAAGCTACACTTTAAAGCATTTTACCTCACATTATTTTTTGAATCCCAAAAGGAAGCAAATGATGGAATATAATTTTATCCTTTTCAAATATACAGTTTCTGTTACAGATTTTTTTGTTACCTATGGAAAAATTGCCATACCAAATTAAAATAAAATATACATACAAAATTTTAAAATTAAGAATAAATATGGTGGCCAGGTGCAGTGGCTCACACCTGTAATCCCAGCACTTTGAGAGGTTGAGGCAGGTGGATCACCTGAGGTCGGGGGTTCGAGACCAGACTGGCCAACATGGCAAAACCCATCTCTACTACTACTACTACTACTACTACTAATAATAATAATAATAATAAAATTAGCTGGGCGTGATGGTAGGCACCTGTAATCCCAGTGACTTGGGAGGCTGAGGCACGAGAATCACTTGAACCCGGGAGGTGGAGATTGCAGTGAGCTGAGATCGCACCACTGCACTCCAGCCTGGGAGACAGAGCAAGACTCTGTCTCCAAAAAAAAAAAAAGCAAATATGGTTACATTTGATTTTTTAACTTGTTCTTGCAAGAAATTTCCCCATATAAAAATAGCTTTCTTAATCTATGTTGCCTTGTTTTTTCTTTAGTTGATGGGTATTGAAGTTGACCCAAAATATGGAGGTACAGGAGCTTCATTTTTATCCACTGTGATCGTGATAGAGGAATTAGCCAAAGTTGATGCATCTGTGGCTGTCTTTTGTGAGGTCCAGAACACACTCATTAACACAATGATTAGAAAACATGGAACAGAAGAACAAAAGGCCACCTATTTGCCTCAGCTCACTACAGAAAAAGTGAGTTGAGATAAAGTGTTGATCTAATGGATCTAATCTTTAATAAGTTTACAATATTTTCAGGAAAAAAGTAGCTGCAATGTTGACCTTACTATCCAAGACCACAGTGCAGTATCATTAATTCAAGCAATGCTCAATAAATTAATGCTGCTGGAAAAGTACACTCTACCTCTTATTTGCCACTTGGAAATTTAGAAAATAATCATCAGATAATAAAATTATTTCTTTTTGTCCTAATTATATTTTCTAATACCTTTGTTGATGGTTTCATTTACATTGTGATGTGTTTCTACTGTGATTATTAAAATCAATTTCAATGAGTATGTGTTCGTACGTCTTTAAGTTTGTCTTGGACAAATAGGGTATATTTTTGGAAAATAATACTTTCAGAACACCATTGCTATTTTCATAAATATAGGCTTTTTTAAAAAGCAGCTAAAGATTTGATTTACAAATGTCCATTTTTCCATAAGTATTTGTTATACAGAGTATAAATACAGTTATTAATTTGGACATTTTTTTATCCCATATGTAGGTAGGAAGTTTCTGCCTCTCAGAGGCTGGAGCAGGTAGTGACTCATTTGCTTTGAAGACCAGAGCTGATAAAGAGGGAGATTATTATGTTCTCAATGGATCAAAGATGTGGGTCAGCAGTGCTGAGTACGCGGGGCTCTTTCTGGTGATGGCGAATGTAGACCCTACCATTGTAAGTTTGAAAACGAAATTTCTTTCTTTTTCCAAACCCCTTCTTTTCTCTTTCTTTATCTTTTCCTCCTTCTGTTTCCTTTTTATGACTTCATCTTGAACTCTTTAGTCTTCTCAGTACTGAAAATGTCAGACTTGAGCTGACCTTTTTTTGCTTTATTTATTAATCTCCTAAAGTAAATATTGTTGACAAAATTATTAATTAGAGTCGGCCCACCATATCCATGGATTCAGCCAACTCCGGATTGAAAATATTTGGTAAAAAAAAAAAAAATTCTGCAAAGTTCCAAAAAGTAAAACTTGAATTTGCTTTGTGCCAAGTACCATGTTGAATTCATGTGAATAAAGTGATGTGCATGCATTATATTAGGTATCAAATAATCTAGAGATGATTTAGAGTCTACCGGAGCATGTGCATAGGTTATATGCAAATATTACACCATTTTATATAAGGTACTTGAGCACTGTCAGATTTTGGTATCCATGGGGGGTCCTGGAACCACTCCCCCACAGATATGGAGGGATGACTGTTTGTGGAGGACCAGTTGTTACTTATCTCCCAATGTGTTATATAGTAGGCTAATCTTTTTTTCTTTTCCTATTTTTTTTTGATGTGGAGTCTTGCTGTATCCCCCAGGCTGGAGTGCAGTGGTGTGATCTCACCTCACTGCAACCTCCTCCTCCTGAGTTCATGAGATTCTGCTGCCTCAGCCTCCCAAGTATGTGAGACTACAGGTGCGCACCACCACGCACAGCTAATTTTTGCATTTTTTGTAGAGACAGGGTTTCTCCATGTTGGCCAGGTTGGTCTCGAACTCCTGACATTGGGTGATCTGTCTGACTCGGCCTCCCAAATTGCTGGGATTATAGGTGTGAACCACTGCACCCGGCCCTAATCTTTAATTTTGTTGAATTTCCAATTTTCCGTTTAGTAATGAAGAATTTAAGTACCTATTTAGTACATTTATTTTTAAGAATACTTTATTCAGTTGGAAAATAGACATATAGCAAAATGATAAATACATTTTTTCATCGGTAATTACAGTATTTTCACTAATGTAACAATTGAATTAAATTGTTAAAACTTTTTTTCTTTTTTTTTTTTTTGAGACGGAATTTCTCTCTGTCACCCAGGCTGGAGTGCAAGGCCATGATCCCGGCTCACTGCAATCTCCGCCTCCTGGGTTCAAGCCATTCTCCTGCTTCAGCCTCCTGACAAGCACCTGCCACCACGCCCAGCTAATTTTTGTATTTTTAGTAGAGACGTTGTTTCACCATGTTGGCCAGACTGGTCTCAAACCCCTCACTTCAGGTGATCCGCTCAACTCGGCCTCCCAAAGTGCTGGGGTTATAGGCATGAGCCACCATGCCCGGCCTAAAACTTTACATAGTAAAATTAAATTGAGAACATGGCATTCTCATGATTATATAATCGTGTAATAATAATTTTAATATTTATAGTGGCCTCTGAAAAAGTGAAAGAAATGGTAAGGTTCTTGGATCTCATGTCCTCTAGTTGCCCTCGTTTCATAATGCCCATGTTGCAATTCTGAGTCCGTTAGTATTTATTACTAAAGTCCATTTGTAGTTTTCTTTTTACTTAAACTCTTTAGAAACAAGGCGTTTTATAAATCCAAGGGGTAATAGCGTTTTAAATCTTCTTTTTAGGGATATAAGGGAATTACCACCTTCATAGTAGATCGTGATACTCCGGGCCTTCATATCGGGAAACCTGAAAACAAATTGGGGCTCAGAGCTTCTTCCACCTGCCCATTAACATTCGAAAATGTCAAGGTGGGTGTCTTAGACTAATCAGTAAAAGACTGATGTGAAATAAGCCTTGCATGGAACCACAGGAGGTGTGCAACACAGGTGTCAAAATATTAAGTGGCTATAAGCACACGCAGGAGAGTATGTTGTAAAACCCTGAACAGTGCTCTTTAGTCATGACCAGACAAATGTACTTTTCACAAAAGTGGAAACCTTTCTGCCCAGAAGCTGTCCTGGGAAGCAAGTGTCAAGAATTCATCCCGTTTATGTTTCATAACTTACGTACTCTGACCATGTGTACTTTATGAGCTTGAGACTTGTGAACCAAACGGGGCTGCAGAGAAGGAAGTCTGGTGTCAGTGCACTAAAGGCCACAAGATGGGGGTGTTGTTCAGTGAGAGCGGAAACAGCCAGGCTATTAAACGTGAGCAGCAGCAGATCGCGGATGTTAGTGCTGGTGCTGTAGAACTCTCTGTAGGTGGGGCGGGTGGTGTCGGCTTTTCCACCACTCATCACAGAGCCTAATCTTTTTTTTGCATAGCTGTGGGGAGCGAGGGGGAGGATGTCTTTACAGATGTCATTCGGGCTTCACTACTTCACCCCAACTGTTTTCCTCATTCTTACTTTCCCATTTCTTTCTCCATTCTTCCCTGCTCACTCCCCCAACTACCCATGTTTGTAAAACTAAGTATAGTTTTTTATTATTCCTAATTCTTTGTGTTTTTTTTTGGACTGTGAATAAGCATTTTCATCTGTTTCTTCTCTCTTCCTCTTTCTTTCTTGTGCATACACCTGTGTACACACGCACACACACACATGCCCCACAGTTGATTTTTATGAGGATGAATGGTCTCAACAGCAGAAAGGCTTACTACACTTGTTTTTGCAAGTATTTGCAGATTTTTGTAGTTCCTAATCTGTTATCTTACACTGTAGCCTACAGATAAGAATTGGGGGGGAGTATTAATTTATGTTATTGATGAATTCTATGAGATTCCCTTACTCTGGATTCACTCATCCATTCAATACCTGTGCAAGGCTCTGGAGGATGCGGTCATGAACAGCACGAACGTGAGTCCTTTTCCTCAGAGAGCTGTGGAAAACAGTGTAGAGGGAGACAGAGAGGCCAGCAAGTTCTGTGAGACAGCTGGCACACGAATTGGGAGGCTATGCCTACTTACAAATACATAATCAAAATGAATCGTGTAAAATGAAACTGAGAAATAAGTGCACATTTGTATTTTCAGGTTCCAGAAGCCAAGATCTTGGGACAAGTTGGGCATGGCTATAAGTATGCCATAGGGAGTCTTAATGAAGGTAGAATAGGAATCGCTGCACAGGTAAGTCCAATGTAAACTCTTCCTTGATGCTAGTCAATTAAAATGTGAAAAGAAAAAAATGCAATGAGACCAGTGAAAATTTGGAAGCTTGTGGACACAAGATGGCATCATTCCCTTACATGAGGGATAGAATGGCTTCTGATTATTTCTTTCAAATTCCCTTTTGGTCAATTATGTCAGTGTCTATAGAACCAAACAATGGCCTGGTGGTAACAGTGTTTCTGCTTTGAGAACATTAAAGTATTATCTAATACCTGAACCAATAACTTTTAAAATGTATTGTAAATTAAATATGGCACTTAAAAAAATCTACTTTTCAAAGCATGAAATTCATTCTGGAAGGAATGTTTTACATTAGGGATAAATAATATTCATTCCACTGTGTAGTAAAGATCTCTTATCTATAGTTAATAAAAGATTTGTTGCTTACTGTTTTGCATGTGAAAACTGGGCAATGTTTTTGGCAGCACATGAAATAAAATAGCCACAGTTAAATAGATATATAAAATGAGAACTATTCAAAATTTTTTTTACCAAATTTGGCTTTTATAATGCATATTGTGTTTTTCTATTAAGTGATATTAGTTATTTTCCAGATTAACAAAATTAATAAGGTCTTTGGCTTAACTATAGATTGTGTCATTTTTGTAGAGTGTGTGTGTGTGTGTGTGTATATATATACACACATATATATATAAAATTTTTTTTTTTTTTTGAGACTGAGTCTCGCTCTGTTGCCAAGGCTGGAGTGCAGTGGCACGATCTCGGCTCACTGCAAGCTCTGCCTCCCGGGCTCACGCCATTCTCCTGCCTCAGCCTCCGGAGTAGCTGGGACTACAGGTGCCCGCCACCAGGCCCGGCTAATTTTTTGTATTTTTAGTAGAGATGGGGTTTCATCATGTTAGCCAGGATGGCCTCGATCTCCTGACCTCGTGATCCACCTGCCTCTGCCTCCCAAAGTGCTGGGATTGCAGGTGTGAGCCACTGCACCCGGCCTTTGTAGAGTATATTTTTAATCAGTGATTATACAAAACTCAAGAACTTAGAGCTTTTCAATTTTGAAGATGTTACATATATATTAGCTATTGGAATAAATATTAGATTATTACTCTAGATTTTTTTCTGCTGCTGTTACTTTGCTAACTATTTTTAGACCATAACTTAGTCCAGTTTTCCTACAATGCTAGACAGTGCGTCACTAAAGAATATTGTTTTATCAGTTCTCTTAAAAGTTTTTCTGTGATTCAACTTAGTTAGAGATGACATTAAAAACTACAATACTAGATCTCATTTTTTTCAGACATATGAATAATATAGATGTTCTGGCAATAAAATACACGGCCTGGGCTTCAGTCTAATTACTCCAAGTTATCTAATAACCTAATTAAAAGTTAAGGTCAGGTAGTTACTATGTCAGTGGATGCCTTTGAGAGGAAGAGGCACATGGAGTGTAACAGTGAACTGAAGGCATCTGTCCTCGAAACCTTGCAGGCAAAGAGAATTCAGTTTTTAAGTGTTTGTAGTAGAAACATTTTACTAAGGTAGAAAAGCCCATTTTGATGGATAACTGATCATTTCAGCCTTCATTTCAATATAGGGTATTATTTATGTACAAATTTTAGCTGTAAGGGTATAGTGACATCATCGTATCTCACAGCCAAGAGTGCAGTGAGTCTGCTGCGTCATGTGAATTTGGGGTTTGTGGTTTTCTTGTGCCTTTAATTTTTAACATATTATTCTGTTTTCTAGGGAGTTCAAAATAAAAGACTAAAAGAAAATGTGAATGAATACTAATGAAATAAATTGATAAGTTTGCTGGGCATTTCCCCCAAAAGCTTTTGCTGTTGATTTTCTAAAACCATAATTTGACATAATTAGATAGTGATTTAATGGCTACCTAATGTTGACACTTAGAAACCATTTCTAAGCTTGAATCATATAATAGATATCAAAGTTGGTTAGCAGTGAGACAGTTCAACTAAAATTGTCACCATGTCCTGTGTAAATTAATGTTTTTTACTAGATGCTTTCTATGCATTGCTTTCAACCCTAGCTGTATATTAAGTCACTAAGGAGTTTTATAAAGTTGAGCTTTAGGTCACACTCCTCCACCTACTCTACTCCCAAGATTTGGATCCAGTCATTAGGCCTGGGTGTCAGTATTGTTTTAAATCAGGTTCCCCAAATGATTCTGTGGTGCAGCTCGGGTTCAGAACCACTGCTCTCTTATGTTCTAATGTCCTTCCCATTGAAGCTCTCATTAATCCTAATCATATACAAAATAGACGGGAAGGTACAAAGTTAAGACGTGATCTTCCACATTTCACTTCTAGAAGAACTGGAGGGAGTTCCTCTACAGTCTTCAAGGCCAGTTCTGAGCAAAACTTGTATGGCTCATTTTATACCTGGAGAATCAAAGCTTAAAGAAGATTCCTAAAAAGTAATCTTAACCTGAAAAGGTTGTGAGGTTGTGTGGACACAGCCTTGCTGGGAGATTTACCTCTGCTAGAATTAAATATGCTCATATTCACATGAAATCACTCAGACTTTTCTCCCAATTATTGGAAGTTCAGTTCTACAAATGCAGTGGGCGAAGATGTGTTATGAACACACACCTCACCACCTCAGCATCTCCAGTTCTTCCCCTACCCCAATCATTCCATTTATGTTTAGAAGGAATTCACAACTTGGATAATTAAACTTGTAACAAAGTAAGAAATTCTGATCTTTTTCTTTCTTTCTTTTTTTATCTATTAACAGATGCTGGGACTGGCACAAGGATGTTTTGACTATACAATTCCATATATTAAAGAAAGGATGCAATTTGGCAAACGACTGTTTGATTTTCAGGTGTATAATTATTAAGGTCTTTCTGCTGCGCTGGACTTCCCCAGCTTCCTGTTAATGAAGGGCTGTGTTGAAAGCCATTGAGGGAATCCCCTCAGGGGGATTTAAATGGGAGATGGGTAGGGGAGGAAGGAATAGGTCTCAGGGAGTGTACTTGTGAATACCTTGATCTTTGCCAAGGGCAGAGGAGTAGTGCTTGAGGCCAGGCTGTGGTGCGATTCAGGATATCCTGGTGAGCACTATGAAGCTGTCTCCTCACTGCTTCAGAAGCTCAGGGCAGGGGTCTGGAGTCAGACTTCCTGGATTCAAATCCTGGTTCTTTCACTTACTAGCTTTAGGCCTTAGGCAAGTGACCTCATTCTAGTCTTAAACTGCCTCATCTATAAAATAACGATAAAACTACTTACTTACACAGTTTTAAATGAGGTATGTGTAAAGTGTTTCACACATTGCATGGGTATAACAAGTGCTCAGTAAATGGTAACACTTGTTATGGGCCCCCATTCAGACCAGAACCATATGGTAATCCTCAGAGGACTGTACTTTGACACCTACGTCTCATGGAAGACACAGTTTGCTGCATTAAATACAAATGAGGTGCTCTCAGTCAAGCACTTGGGTAATACTGGTTTGGTCCAGTGCCGTGGCTTCTCAGAGTTCCCCAGGCAACCTGGGGATTCCTTGGTGGCAGTGGTATTCTTCCTGCCCTCCTTGAGGTCTTGCCAGGGTGGGGGCAGCCTGGAGTGGCAGCTTACCAAACCTTTTAGGCAACCTGAAGGCATGTCACCTAAAATTCCAGAATAATTACTTTACATGGTTGCAAAACCTCCCTTAAGCAGCTCTAGGCTCCAAGTACAAATTCTGATTGCACTGCTAGCTGTCACATTGTATTGTCTTCAGGTTTATAATAATGACTAGGCCTCATATGAGCACACTCAGGTTGCACATGTGTAGAGATACGAGGCTGTGGACATGCACAGTCATTTCAAGACCCAGAAGGACTGAGCATGGCAGGCCCGGCCAGTGCCTACCGCAGCCCATGCTGTCATTCCCATCTTATGCCTAGGAACCCGAAGCACATGGAAGCTGAGTTCCCAAGGTCATAAAGCTAATATGGTGCCAAAAGTAGAGGTATTTTTTGGTCTTGGCCTCTAGTCGAATTTTTATTATACTAGAGCACTTTCTCAGAGCCAGCTACCACAAAGATTGCAGTGAAAGAGACAGAATGTAAAGGTTGTTTTGAAGGGAGGCTTTTGATCTTCTTTATGCACAGGAAACTGTGTTCTTGTGCATATAGATAGACAGATTGATAGATGGAAGGGGTCAGGTATACTAACAGGTATAATCATAATGACATCTTTAGAGATGCCTAGTAGGGGTAGTTAAAAGAACACTTAGATTTTTTAAATTCATTAATTAATTTATTTTATTTTATTTTATTTTTTTGAGACAGAGTCTCGCTGTGTCACCCAGGCTGTAATGCGGTGGCGTGATCTCGGCTCACTGCAAGCTCCGCCTCCCGGGTTCACACCATTCTCCTGCCTTAGCCTCCCGAGTAGCTGGGACTACAGGCGCCTGCCACTGTGCCTGGCTAATTTTTTGTATTTTTAGTAGAGATGGGGTTTCACCGTGGTCTCGATCTCCTGACCTTGTGATCTGCCTGCCTCGGCCTCCCAAAGTGCTGGGATTACAGGCGTGAGCCACCACGCCCAGGCTAATTTAGTTTTTAAAAATTTTGTGGGTACACAGGTACCCACAAACATTTATGGGGTACATGAGATGTTTTGATAGAGACATGCTATGTGAAATAAGCACATCAAGGAGAAGACATTTTGATCTTAAAAAGCAACATTATTATAGCTGTATAATGCTTTGATTAAAGTTCGTAGAGTTTTTTCTAACACGTCATCTCATGTTTGTTTTGCAAGCATTTGTTCAGATCTTTCTGACCTCGAGACTACATGGTCCTTGAGGGTAGAGACCAGCCTATTCATCTTTATTAATTTCAATTGTTTATTCAGTATAAATTTATTTAGCATGTTCTCCATGCCAGGCCTTGTGTTCACAATGTAGTTAGGGAACGAGTATTCAGCAATGGTGAGTTCTTGTAGAGCAGGAGACATGCGTCAGTCACTTTCCTGCCTCTCTCAGTACTTAATGTGGCAAATGGAATAGACAGCATGGATGGTGACTGTCGGTTTAATTGAACTGAATGTATTTTGCAAAAATAATCAGAATCTCTGAGTTCCACATAAAAAGCCAAACTCCTAGAACAGTGATACTTGTATAGAAACAGACAAATTCACTGATGGAACAAAACAGAAAAGCCGGAAATAGACCCATGCATATATGCAGATTTGATGTATGATAGAGATGGCATTACAGATCACCGAGTGGGAATATTCCTTCTGTGTGAGAAAATAATGAAACTGTATTCCTACCTCACACCATACACCGAAAATAGATGTCACATGTAAAGACATAATGTTAAAAGCAAAACTTTAAAGATTTTAGGAGAAAACAGAGAATATTTTTATAACCTCATAGTAGTAAAGGTTTTTGTAAACAGACACAAAAAGGACTAATCCTAAAGATAAGATGGGTGGTAAGATTGGTAAATTTTTTTCCTGGAAAGATGCTATAAAGTGAAAAGATAAATCACAGGGGAGAAGATACTGACTCTGCACATAGGTTTGTGGGTGTTTAACTTACTATTATGCTTCATAGCCTACATATATGGAACATCGTCTTTTTTTGTACATATGAAATTGTCATGTGTATCACATATTTCAGGAAGAGAAAGAGAAGAATCTGTAGGGTATTAACGAATAGTGCTGTTTTTCTCCAGCTTGTCCCTCCCTTTTGTTTAGGAAAGGCCATTCCCGGGATTCGTGTGTGATTGCCTTAATCAAGGTTCACTGTCTTAATATTCACCACACATTATTATAATTATTTAATTGTCTGTTCTCCCTGCTGGACTATATATTATAAATCATGAGAACAAGGAACTCTGGCTGTACTGTTCAGTGCACTGCCTCCGTCACACTCAGGGCGGTGCCTGCCATCTCAGAGGTGCCCAGTAACTATCTGGGTGGATGGATAGGTTAGGCATGAGAAACATTTCAGTTTGTAATAAACATCTGTGCCTGTTATTTCCAGGAAATTGTTTACAAATGTTAATGTTTGTATTCTGGCTCACTAAGTTAACTGTTGTTTCTTTCATTGGCAAACATTTAGTGTGGACCTAATCACCCTCTAAAATTTCAGGGTGGTAGTAATTGGTGCTTCATATATTCTTCATTGCTTTGTAGCTAACATCTTTTAATGCCTGGAAGCCATATGCAAAATCAAAATTTTCTTAATTCAAGCAAATAAAGAATATATTCAAAGTTTTGCTGTGCCAGGATTTAATTTAAGCTCAATTTTGATCAAAAGAGAGTTGAAATAATTATTAAATGTAACAGTCAAGTGTCTAAACCTAACTTTATGATACTTTACTATTTAAATCTTGATAATCATGAAGAATTTGAAGTTTTTCTAGGAAAAGAGGATTTAACGTTACTTATCATGTCACATTTCATTTTAGATTACAAATTTTAAAGTGTTTAAAAGACATGAATGTGAATTTCCTTTGGGGTATATTTTGAGTCTGTCAGTGTTGTGTATCTAGGCAGGACTTTCAGGTTGAGGCGCTTTTTTAAAATCATAATTCTCTAACTTGGGCCTGACTGTTACAGGGCCTCCAACACCAAGTGGCTCACATGGCCACCCAGCTGGAAGCTGCAAGGTTACTAACATACAACGCTGCTAGGCTTTTAGAAGCTGGAAAGCCATTCATAAAAGAAGCATCAATGGCCAAATACTATGCATCAGAGGTAAGAAAAAAAAAAAAGGAAAAGAAAAAGTAATTTAGCCTTCTTTTTTTTTTTTTCCAGATATATACTTATTAACATTTTCTCTTGGGATTGTTGATTGTACTTTGGTTGTTTTTCAAGTTAAGATAACATGGCCTCTTATTTCTTATAATAGAAAAGCAAAAAAGGAAAACTGCCGTAGGAAAACGCTTGAATTCTGTGAGGTCTCAATGATTCGTTGAGTAGCCCAGCTCAGCTAGACCACCCATCTCAAACTGCCGTAGGAAAACCTTCAGTTCTGTGAGGTCTCAATGTTTCGTGAGTAGCCCAGCTCAGCTAGACCACCCATCTCAAATCCATGGCTGAGCCTCCTCTGAATGAGGGTGTCATGCCTATGATGTCAAGTTCAGGCAAAGTGAATGCCGTGGAAGATGATGGGTCCATCATATGAACAAATCAGATTTAAAACACCAAGAAAAGATTGTCCAAAACTTTGTACTCATACGTTGGCTTTCTATAGCTAACACATTAGACTGTGGCTAGAGAATTTAGCCAAATCATTGGGCAGCTGTTTCGCAGCCTCAGCGGTATCTTACTCATTCCATGGCTTTAAATTCTCATTTAACCTCTCCAGCCCATAAATTTAAATCTCCTGCCTCAACTTCTTTCTGAATTCCAGACTAACATGTCCAACTTCTGCTTTACCATCAGAACCTGAGCGTCATCTTGACTCCCTGCTTTCCCTCACCCCACACATTGAGTCCAGCATCATCTCTTGTGAATTCTACCCCCCAGATGAATTCTACCCCCAAAAGATTCCTTGAATGGTGTATTTGTCTCCCTCTCCACTGCCACCTCTGTACTGCAGTCACCTTGCTGCTCTCCTGGTCCCTGGTGCTTCCTCCCATCCAGCCTCTCTCGTTTTTCAAAGTGGCAGCGAGGCCATGTCACCTTCCTGCTTGAAACCCTTCAGTGGCTTCTCACAACAAATGGAACTCTATCCGTACTAGATTTCAATTGCTGCTATAACAAATTACCAAAAAGTCAGGGACCTAAAACAACGCAATTTCATTTTCGCTCACTTCTAGAGGTCAGAAATCTGAAATGGGTCTCACTGGAATACAGGGGCTGCCTTTCTGCAGTTCTAGGGGACAGTTGTTTCCAGCTTCTAGGGGCTGCTGACATTCCTTGACTTGTAACCCCTTCCTCCATCTTCAAAGCCAACAATGTGGCATGTTCAGATCTCTCTCTGACTCTGCTTCCTGCCTCCGTGGTCATGTCACCTTCCATGACTAACTCTCCTGCCTCCTCCTTTTCCTTATAAGGACTCCTATGATTATATTACAGCCACCCAGATAATTCAGGGTAATCTCTCCACCTCATGTCCCTACCCACATCTGCAGAGTCCCTATTGCCATGGAAGGCAGCATATTCACAGCTCTGAGGGATAGGATGTGAACGTCCTTGAGGGGCCATTCTGCAGGGTCTCTCGCTCCTCCATTCTCTGTTCACACTTCACCCCAGTCCCAGCCCACTGGTTGTCTCAGGGGCTGGAAATTGAAGAGTTCATTCTCCCCTTGGAGGCTTTCCACATGTTGGGCCTCAGCTTGAAATGTCCCCTAGCTCATCCGTTACGCCCCCAGTAAACATTTCCTGAATAAATGATATCCCTCAGCAGGCAGATTCACGTGAACAATGCTCTAATTTCTTAAGAAAATGGGGATTTAGTGAAATGGTATGGAGAATGGGACTGAAGAGACAGTGCTAGTTTAAAAGATAACTTCATTCCTTCCAATGCCACTAACAGTGAATCCATGTTGCTGAAAATGTTATCCAGAAGTGTTTATTATGTAGAAGTTACGTGATTTCAGTGTGTAATTGCACTTGCTTTTGGTAGATTGCAGGACAAACAACCAGTAAATGTATCGAGTGGATGGGGGGAGTAGGCTACACCAAAGATTACCCTGTGGAGAAATACTTCCGAGATGCAAAGATTGGTAAATAGATATTTATTTTTATTTTTATTTTGTTTTATTTGCCTCTGTAGGTATTTTGGCTGCTTTATTTGTCAATTTTATCCTAGGCAAAGGCAATTTTAATTTCTTCAGTATATGTTTATTGGCTGTCTTTATGTGGCTGGATTTTTTTCTTACCTTGTCCTTCAAAAAAAATTGTTCTTTTTTTTTTTTTAGATATCAAATTGCCTTTTTAAATGTCTCAACAGGTTATTTAGTAAAACTGCCACAAGTAACAGTCTGAGCTTATGCATCAATTGTTGAAGAATCAAAATCTTCAACTTTTGATTAAACTTTAGTCAGTTTAATCCTGATCCTGGACATCAAAAAACCAAATAGAAAATTGTCATCTCTTAGTCAAAATTACTCTGTGAAATAGTACTATATTCAGGGGACATCAAGTGATGTGACTAGTAACTGTTTTATAGCAAGTACAGAGGTGATGTTTATAGAGCTATTTCTTGTCTTAACTGTGTGCCAACTCCTCATTGTTCCTTCTGCTTCCTTTTGCTTAAGGTACGATATATGAAGGAGCTTCCAACATCCAGTTGAACACCATTGCAAAGCATATCGATGCAGAATACTGACGTCTGTAGGAGTGGGACCCCTCCCTGGTGTCACTGCTGTAAAATTTTAAACTGTTGTGTCTTGTTAGGAGTAAGTGCCTTGCATGGGAATAAACTTCCACAGCATTCAAATATTTTACTGAAGCCCTTAGGGTCCTGGGGGTTGGCCTTTTTGGTTTTCTCTTTTCAGGCTGTTTAACTTAGGCACAGGAGATCCACTTTTAAACTTGGGAAATAAGCACCTGTATTTTTTTCCAAAACTGTTTTTAAAGCTCTATACATATATATATTTTTTAATTTGAGACGGAGTCTCACTCTGTCACCCAGGCAAGAGTGCAGTGGCATGATCTCAACTCACTGCAACCTCGACCTCCTGGGTTCCAGTGATTCTCATGCCTCATCCTCCCAGGTAGCTGGAACTACAGGTGTGCACCACCATGTGTCACTAATTTTTGTGTTTTTAGTAGAGATGGGGTTTTGCCATATTGCCCAGGCTGGTCTCGAACTCCTGGCTTCAAGGGATCACCCACTTTGGCCTCCCAAAGTGCTGGGATTACAGGGATGAGCCACCGTGCTTTGCCGGATATTTGTATTATCATTCTAGTTTCAGAGTATACAGAAATTTCATCCCATCATTTTGAAAAATAAAGATATCTGAAGTATAACATTACTTATAGAAATAGTTACTTTGTACTCCTTAATCTTGTGGCATCAGAGGAATATTTGTTATGTAGTAGGCAATTTTTATCCAGTACTTTATAGATTCAACTCTAAGTTGCAAGTGAGGTCAAAACTCATGAAAATTTATTTAGAAAAATCTAAAAATTCTGGTTTTAAATATGAGAATCAGTGGAAAATAAGGGTATAATTTTGTAGGTCATATAATTGAAGAAAATATTATTTTAACAATGTAAAGCAATATGATTTGTTACTATAATTAACCTGTATAAAAGATACATTTCATGGTGGTTTCAGTAGGTCATTTTAAAAACCAATGTGCATTAATTTTCAAGTATAAGGTTTAAGTAATTTGATTGAATAATCAGAAAATATTCAATACAGTGTTGGAATATTCTGTCATGCACTATTTTTCCATTGACAATTTCTGTATTTTAATTGAATACAGTTTCTTCAGTCATGGTTATTGCACTTTATCCTGAATAATAATTCAGAAATTGGGTTTTGGTTCAGTGATTCTCAAGAGAAAGATCTCTTGCCCATTAAGAAGTGTATCAAAATCTCATAAGAAATGAGGGAAAGAAGAGGGCTGTAGAGTTTGAAAAAGTATATTCAATATTAAAATAATTTTATATTTGGGAAGGCAAAAATGAATCTATTGTTTTGCTATACAGGTTATAAACAGGCAAAATCAATAAAATATATACCTGGTTGTATTAGTCTGTTTTCATGCTGCTGATAAAGACATGCCCAAGACCAGGAAGAAACAGAGGTTTAATTGGACTTAGAGTTCCACATGGGTGGGGAGGCCTCAGAATCATGGTGGGAGGTGAAAAGCACTTCTTACACAGCGGCGGCAAGAGAAAATGAGAAAGAAGCAAAAGTGGAAACCCCTAATAAACCCATCAGATCTCGTGCTTATTTACTATCACAAGAATAGCACGGGAAAGACCGGCTCCCGTGATTCAATTACCTCCCCCGGGTGCCTCCCACAACATGTGGGAATTCTGAGAGATGCCATTTAAGTTGAAATTTCAGTGGGGACACAGCTAACCCGTATCATTCTACCCCTGGCCCCTCCAAATCTCATGTCCTCACGTTTCAAAATCAATCATGCCTTCCCAACAGTCCCCAAAGTCTTAATTCATTTCAGCATTAACCCAAAAGTCCACAGACCAAAGTTTCATCTGAGACAAGGCAAGTCCCTTCCACTTATGAACCTGTAAGATCAAAAGTAAACTAGTTACTTCCTAGATACAATGGGGGTACAGGTATTGAGTAAATACAGCCATTCCAAATGGGAGAAATTGGCCGAAACAAAAGGGGAACAGGGCCCATGCAAGTCTGAAGTCCTGTGGGGCAGTCAAATTTTAAAGCTCCAAAATGATCACCTTTGACTCCATGTCTCACATCCAGATTACGCTGATGCAGGAGGTAGGTTCCCATGGTCTTGGGCAGCTCCGCCCCTGTGACTTTGCAGGGTACAGCCTCTCTCCTGGCTGCTTTCATGGGCTGGCATGGAGTGTCTGCGGCTTTTTCAGGCGCACAGTGCAAGTTGTCTGTGGATCTACCATCCTGGGGTCTGGAGGACAGTGGCCCTCTTCTCACAGCTCCACTAGGTGGTGCCCCAGTAGGGACTCTGTGTGGGGGCTCCAACCCCATATTTCCCTTCCACACTGCCGTAGAAGAGGTTCTCCATGAGGGACCTGCCCCTGCACCTAACTTCTGCCTGAGCATCCAGGCATTTCCATAAATCTTCTGCAATCTAGGCAGAGGTTCCTAAACTCCAGTTCTTGCTTTCTGTGCACCCACATGCTCAACACCATGTGGAAGCTGTCAAGACTTGAGGCTTCTGCCCCATGAAGCCACAGCCCAAGCTGTACGTTGGCCCCTTTCAGCCACAGCTGGAGCAGCTGGGACACAGGGCACCAAGTCCCTAGTCTGCACACAGCATGGGAACCCTGGGCCCAGCCCTTAAAACCACTTTTTCCTCCTGAGCTCCCAGGCCTGTGATGGGAAGGCCTGCCAGGAAGTTCTCTGACATAGCCTGGAGACATTTTCCCCAGGGTCTTGGGAATTAACATTAGGCTCCTTGCTACTTATGCAAATTTCTGCAACCAGCTTGAATTTCTCCCCAGAAAATGGATTTTTCTTTTCTATTGCATAGTCAGGCTGCAAATTTTCCAAACTTTTATGCTCTGCTTCCCTTATAAAACTGAATGCCTTTAACAGCATCCAAGTTGTCTCTGGAATGCTTTGCTGCTTCAACATTTCTTCTGCCAGATACCCTAAATCATCTCTCTCAAGTTCGAAGTTCCCCAAATCTCTAAGGCAGGGGCAAAATGCTGCCAGTCTCTTTGCTAAAACATAACAAGAGTCACCTTTGCTCCAGTTCCCAACAAATTTTTCATCTCCATCTGAGACCATCTCGCCTGAATTTTATTGACAATATCGCTATCAGCATTTTGGGCAAAGCCATTCAACAAGTATCTAGGAAGTTCCAAACTTTCCCACATTTTCCTGTCTTCTTCGGAGCCCTTCAAACTGTTCCAACCTCTGCCTGTTACCCAGTTCCAAAGTTGCTTTCATATTTTTGGCTGTCTTTTCAGCAATGCCCCACTCTACTGTTAGCAGTTTACTGTATTAGTCTGTTTTCACACTGCTGATAAAGACATTCCCCAAGATTGGGAAGGAAAAGAGGTTAATTGGACTTACAGTTCCACATTGCTAGGGAGGCCTCAGAATCATGGCGGGAGGTGAAAAGCACTTCTTACATGGTGGTGGCAAGAGAAAATGAAGAAGCAGCAAAAGTGGAAACCCCTGATAAACCCATCAGATATCATGAGACTTACTATCACGAGAATAGCACTGGAAAGACTGGCCCCCATGATTCAGTTACCTCCCCCTGGGCCCCTCCCACAACCTGTGGGAATTCCAGGAGATAAATTCAAGTTGCAATTTCAGTGCAGACACAGCCAAACCATATCACTGGTGACGCCACTTCTTCAGTATTAGGGATTCTCAGTCAGAAGAGACCCCGTCTGTGGTACACTTCCTGAGTCCCCTCAGGAGGAAGGTGGACAACAGAGAAATGAGAGTTTTGATATTTTCTGAAAGAGAAACATGCGTTAGAGATGAAAAATGTTCCCAGGCTCATGCAGTTGCTTAGAATAATCATTACTGTTAAATGAGAAACATTTTAGTACTTTAATGAGAGGATAATGTTTATTTAAAAAACCTGACATTTCCAGAGTAATTTTGCTTTGCACATTCATGTTTATTGACGTGGACTAATTTCTATAATGCAAATCAGAGTTAAATATTAAAAATTGTGTAAATACAATTGACATAGGAATTATATTAAAATATTAGGAAGAAACAAGGACAAATTTAGACCTTGAATCCAAAGAGATAAAGCCTACTTGACTTTCAAATGGAGAGATGATGAAAACCCACTCATTCAGTCTTTCAGAACAAAAAGACCATAATCTGATAAGAGTAGGAGATGGATGAAATGCCCTACAGAGGCCTTGGACATCTTTAATTTCTGTGATTATGTGAAAGAGGTGGACTTTACAGATAATGGAGCAGAAGCCAACATTAGTAAAAAGAATCCCAACTTCTTCCTGTAGAATTAGAAACATGTGAAAGTACAATAAACCTCTTGTTCCAATTACCAGCATCAGAGAGCTTCCCATTTGCATCTGGACCTTGAATTTATATTTATTGATCAAGTTCTAATTTGTATGTATATTTTGTGCATATTCACAAATAACAGTTAAAATTAATTATGTATTATAGTTAATATATGCACCTACCTTCTTCCGTTAGTGAATCAGTAAATGGTAAAATGTGTTATTTTATCATTTTTCCAAAGAGAATGTTGTAGGTTTTCCCTGTAGTTCTTGCATTATAGCTTTTCTTCTGATAACCATGACTTCAGGAGCTTTAAAACTATCTATCTTGCGTTTGTGTCTGGTGGAGAACTAGCCATTAGCCTTCTGAAGCCTGCCATTGTGGTTAATTTGAGGATTGGGCTGTCTTGGGGCTCAGAAGGTAAAGAACTGTTTGAGCAGATGTGTGTGGGCAGCACTGGATTCCACCCAACTGCCAAGTTAGTATTGTTAGAGATTTCATTTTACAACACAAAAATAAGCCCGTGTCAAACATTTTTAAATTATGGAAAGTTAAACCTAGAAAGACCTTAGAGAACCAGCCACCCAACTCTCTCATTTTAAAAGTGAAGGATTCATAGCACAGATTACTTGCCTAAGATCATCCAGGAACAAAGACAAGAATCCAAATGTACTTGGGGACAAGAATTAGTCCCCAAATTCAGTGTTCTTCCTAGTATTAAACATTGCCGCTTTCAACAAATTTTGGATTTCATTCTTGTTATATTTCAGTACTCTGGTTGATTTATTTTAGGTTTAACTGATAAAGAATGAACATTTCAGAAGTGTTAGGACTAATCAGTGTCATTGCTTACAATATGAATCACTTGCCAAAGACACTGGCATTTAGCAAGCTCTCCTCAGCTGTAACCAGCATGTCAAATGGGGGATCCTTTGGTTTCATTGTTATGATGTATTTTTTAAATGTACTAGTCATATCCTTGTTTCTGTATTTTTGCTGATCTTTCATAAAGCAGAAGTTTTGTTTTAATGGTATATATTGGATTATATTCGATGTTACAAAACCAATATTCTATGGAAAATGAAAAAAATAAAGGACTAAATTAACGAGATTTTTGGTACTCTTATAAAGCAAAATTGTTTGTTATACATACAGATGAAATAAGAAAATAATGTAATCTTTCTGTAAGATAGATACATCTTTGTTTACCAAACCAATAGCTTGCCTCTCATATAAGCCAATTTTGTTTGTTTTCAGAGAAGAGGTCTTATAATGTAGACCAAGTTTAAATTCATGATGCTAAAGAAAATTTTGCCAGAGGACCCCTTTTTTTAAAATGGCAAAATAAGCAGCTCTTCAGTAGAGAGTTCACCTCTTTTGAGCACACCTTTGCTGTACAGATTTTATCTGGCTGATATGTACACCTGTGCTTTATAGTATTACTTTTAGAAAATGTATATTATTGCACTTTTTACTCAGTGATACACTGTAGCCTAAGGCTATAGGAAATTTCAACTTATTTTCTCCCCATTATTCTCTACATCATTTTAGAAATCTACATATTAGTCCCCCCCTTTTTTTTTGTCATTCAGCAACATGTAGTGAGTGGTTGCTATGTCCAAGGTGCTGTGGACTCTGAGCCACCATGCAAAGATGAATAAGACTAGCTCCTTGTTTAAATGTGTGCCCATTCAGGTGTCTTTTCTATTCATCACAGAAAGATTGAGTAGAAAGCTACCAAGGTCACCCTTATGCAGAAATATTTCTTTACATCCATTAGAATGATAACAGTAAGTGCTGATACCATGTGCTAGCCATGATTCTAGACTCTTGACACATATTAACTCACAACAGCCCTATGAGGGAGGTGCTCTTGGTTATCTCATTTTATAGGCAAGAGACTGAGGCATAGAGGGGTTCGAGAAGATGCTTATTAGTAGATGGCGGAAATGAAACGCAAACGCCAGCAGTCTTGCTGATGAAGGCCGTCCTAGATTTATTCTTTTGCATCTAAGCCTTGTTTATCTTCAGGAGCCTTCCAGTAAAATACTACCAACAACTAGCCCTTTATTCATTAATA